GAGGTTCTAACGAGCCCAAGCCCAACCCCCGGGTAATAGTGGTATCCGCGTACAAGCCCGCTAAAATTTTTCCCGCATTAATTTATAACTCGGGTTTCTGAGACGCTAGAAAGCTGAAATCTTAAGGGAATGTTCCCCGTACAAGTAGGTGCTAGTGAGTTCAAACTCAACCCGCGGGTAAGCGTGGTACCCGCGTATGGGCCTGCCAAAATTTTTCCGGGGCAAGTTCATAACTCGGGGATCTGAGATGCTAGAAGACTGCAACATTAAGAGGGTGTTTCTTGTCCACATTAGTCTTAACGAGATCAAACCCAGCCCCCGGTCATGCGTGGTACCTACGCACGGGTTCACCAAAGTTCTTCTTGGGTAAGCTTATAACTCGAGTACCTGAAAAGCTAAAGGACTGTAATTTTAAGAGGATATCCCTCGTCCACCAAAGTTTCATTCAGCTCAAACCCAACTCTCGGATATGCATGGTAAAAATGCACGGGCCGTGAAAGTTTTTTCCAGTAAGTTGCTAACTCAGGAGCCAGGGAAGCTAGAAAGCTGAAATTTTAAGGGGGTGTTTCCTGCCACTTGGCGACCAGTCTTAATTTGCTTAGCTAGAAGGATCTGCCAAAAAAACCGATGCTGGTAGCGACAAAAACTGCGGGAAACTATGCAAAAAACGCATCATCTTATGGACAGCCCGTGTGTTGGCCAATTATTATGCGTTACAACAGCGTTTCTTCCCACTGTGTTGCGCCTCTATCTATGTAACGGAATTTAACAGTTGGCAGCTAACAGTTGCTTTCAAGTTTTACTTGTGCAAAACATGACGTCGAAAATATTTCAGGCCACGCTGCACACCAATAACCAGGATTTCACTTAGATCAGCAATAAATGCTACATTCAGTGGTATTCCAAGAACTGCGTAAACCATAGTCAAAACGCGACCTGTTACTGTTCGCGGAAACTGAAACATTTTACTGTTAGACAGGACGAGTACCTGTTAGTTCCTGACGAGCAAAAAAAAAAGCTAATGCTAGCCACAGCCTAAGCTCATCCAAAAAACGAAGAGATGTATCTTTCAAC